GCACTCCTTTTTTAAAATTAAATGCATTGGGGTGCCACTGGTTAATACATTTGAGTGTTTACCTTGCGCAGGGGCCATGTTAATCTCTGTATCTTTCCAGTTTTAGTACCTGTGCTGCCGAAGCGAGCACTCAATGAATCCTTGTTGAAGGAAATTAATGTTTTCAAACGATCCAACAGTTAAATATAATTAAGCTCTTTTTAAAAATGAGGAAACTTGCCGAAACCAGTTTGGCTCAGTGGATAGAGTGTGGGCCTGCGGACTGAAGGGTCTCTGGTTCGATTCCGGTCAAGGGCATGTACCTGGGTTGTGGGCACACCCCCAGTGGGAGATGTGCAGGAGGCAGCTGGTCGATGTTTCTGACTATCTCTCTCCCTTCCTCTCTGTAAAAAATCAATAAAATATATTTAAAAAAATAAAAATGAGGAAACTCAGGTTCCTGAAAGTTAAGTGTTGTTGATCAGGTAAGAGGCTAGGCGATTCCAACCATTTTCTGCTTGTCTCCATATCATCTGTCTCACATCACCCCACCTCCAGGCCTTCCCACTTCTTGCCAACAGACTTGGGTAGTCTCCCACTGTTTCACACTATCTTTTATAACTGTCTGGGATATGAGGGGTCATTTTCCCGATTAGACCAAGAGCTCTTTGAAGAGGAGAGAAACCATTTCCCACTCACATTTGCATCTCCAGAGCTTGGCACATAAGTGATGGGTGCCGGGAGCCGGTCCATCCTTGCTGTTTCAAGGGACCTGGCATATATGGCATACTGTTCTTAATATGTTTGCTCACCTTCTTGGCACTATGTGTTTTAACCAAGGTCACCTCTCTGAGAAAGGTTGTTTCCCCAGGTAGGGATTTTCCCCTGAAGTTAGGGAGGGAATAAAACCCCTTAACTAAGTGCCAGGCGGGTAATTAATCACTTTAACTACGAGCAATCATGCTTAAGCTACATAATCTTTACTCCCTGGAATGGAGATAAGAAATGCCCTAACCTTTGGAATAGAGATTGATAGGATTGGAATCAACTGGTATAAATACAGATGTAACAAGACAACAGGACACAGAACCTACACAGAACCTAGAGACAGAAGAACTTCGCTGGAGAGAACATGGCCAAAGATCCTGGACAGAAACTGGACACAGAACCTAGGGACAGAACATGGCAAAAGATCCTGGACAGAAACTGGCTACAGAACCTAGAGACAGAACCTAGCAAGAGAACCTGGCTGAAGAACCTAGAGACAGAACCTGGCTACAGAACCTGGATAGAACATGGCAAGAGAACCTGACTAGAACTCGGTGACTGAACCTGGCTAGAGAACCTAGCGAGGGAACATGGCTACAGAACCTGGCTGGAGAACCTAGCAAGAGAACATGGACACAGAACCTGGCTGGAGATCCTAACCAGAACTTCGCTGGAGATCCTGAACAGAACTTGGCTGGAGATCCTAGACAGAACTTGGCTGGAGATCCTGGCTAGGCTGCTGATCAACTGAACGCTGTCTCCGTGTCATTCCTTCTTCGCCGACTCTGTCTACACCTTTGGGAACCCCTGGACCTGCTGGGGTTGGACCCCAGCAGATGGGCACTGGTACATGTGTATTAAATGAATGAAAAACACGTGTTAAATAAATGAATAAAATTCGGTATGTCTTCCTGTCTTTCCAGAAAGGAAGGGAGCACTGCAGGGAGAGACCCGAACCCAGGGGAGTTTGACCACCCAGAGGCAGCCTGGGCGTCAGAACAGTGTACTCCAAACCTTGACTCCAAGCCAGTTGGTGTAGTCAAAGTAAATAAGTGGTTCTGGGGGGAGGGAAGAGGGACAGGGGTATAATATGATAAATGGCCCCTAACTGATAGTTGCCTTCAGGGAATTTGGGCCCACTATTACCAGATATTCTGATTTCTACACCTCTCCACCCCAGTTCAACAAATTGGGATTTTTAAAATTTGAAATCTCTGTTTTAAAATGTTAACAAGGAATATTTTGCATATTTGACACCTGTGTGGATCATGTTTTTAAAATTCTCTTCTATAGGATAAAATAATCAGGAAATGAAACAAATAACAAGGGCCATAAAATAAGCTAACAATAAGGGTCAGAAATTCAGACTGAATTATTTGTATAACTGAATGTCTGATATAATCATGACAGTATAAAACTATATATAGTGCCCAGCCAGTATGGCTCAGTGGTTGAGCATCAACCTATGAACCAGGAGGTCACAGTTTTATTTCTGGTCAGGGCACATGCCCAGGTTGTGGGCTGGATTGCCAGTAGGGGATATGCAGGAGGCAGCTTTTAATGTTCTGCTCTCACATGAATGTTTCTTTCTGCCTTCCACCCTCTCTAAAAATCAATTTAAATTTTTTTTTTAAGTTTCTTGCATGTTAAGCAACAAACATACAAACAGTTAGGGAAAGAGTAATCATAAGGATGTTTGGCAAAGATTTAAAAAATTCCATTTCACAATAAATCCCAGAATTTTTCAATATAAATAAAAACTCTGGAATGACATAAAGTAATTCAAGTTCAATTTCTTTGACTTTACAATCATTGTACTACTGATTGTTCATTATAAATCCATGGGCTAAATACAGGAATATGTACTATCATAGGAGCGGGAGACAGAGATTGTGCCCAAAGAGAATCTGAACAACTCCAAACCGTTAAGAGCTAATTCTAGATTTAAACACACCTAGATGAATCTGCTATGTCAGGGGCCGATTGTATAACTGGGAGTTCTCTAGATGAACTTCCATGTATATCACAGTGTTTTCTAAAGGATAGCTAATACAAATGTGCTCATTTGAAGCTTGTATCGTAAGAAAGCTCATCAGTAACCACAACAATGTAGAACCTGTGTCTATAAGAGCTTTTTCAGAGAGGAGTACTTTATTACTGACATTTGTTAGAATTGCTGGAACATGGTGGTGATAAAATGGAGACCAATTTTTAGTTGGTTTTGTCTTAAAATTCTCTACAGATGATACCCTCTTATTGCCTGCAGCTGGAGGGTCAGACCTCTCATGCCATTCCCATCCTTGGCACACTAATGCAATCTTTAAAAGTTCAAAACAGCCCTGACCGGTTTGGCTCAGTGGATAGAGCATCGGCCTGCAGACTGAAGGGTCCCAGGTTCGATTCTGGTCAAGGGCATGTACCTTAGTTTCAGGCACATCCCTAGTAGAGGGTGTGCAGGAGGCAGCTGATTGATGTTTCTCTCTCATCAATGTTTCTAACTCTCTATCTCTCTCCCTTCCTCTCTGTAAAAACCAATAAAATATACTTTAAAAAAAATAAAATAAAAGTTCAAAACAAAACAAAAATATGGGACACACAAAACATATTTCTGGCTCCTGCTCTAAAGTTTAAATTCGGAACTTAAACTCCCTCTTCCCACATCAGTAGCCTCCCACTGACTGGGCTGTCCCTGGGCAGGGCAGGTACTCCAGTCCCTGCAGTGAACAGGTGCAAAGACAGGACTCAATATCCCAGGATAGTTCTGGGGGCAGAGGTTTCTTTAATTCAAGTAACTTTTGAGATTAATAGTTATTAGGGACAGTTTGGATGAAGTGGGTCGAGAGGGAGGAAACTAGCTTTTTCTGTGCCCTGTTATACCAGAACTAGAGGCCCGCTGCACGAAATTCATGCATGGGTGTGGTTCCTAGGCCTGGCTGGCGATCAAAGCACAAGCATCTGGCGTGGAAGGGCAGGTCCCAGCTAACTCTGGGCCCTGGGCAGCACCTGGGCCCTCGGGCCTCCATGTGGCCCCCTCTGCTGAGTCACAGAGCCCGAGTCCCCACACAGAGATGCGGTGGGCACAGCTGGACGTCATGGGCCAGGGTGCAGCGTGGGCCTCTGGGCCGCCTGGCAGAGCTGCACAGAAGCCGGGCAGGCAGCACACTCTCTCCCAGCCGGCCTTGCAGAACGGCTCCTGTGCAAACCCACGGGGAACCCAACTGGCTCCTACAGTCCCAGGGGCTGTGGCACAGCTCACCCCAAAAAGGCTGTGTGGGTGTGGGGCAGGCTCTTCACGGGCACCTGGCATCTGAGTAGGCGTGCGAGCCCTGGTGTCCCAGGGGAGGGTAGCAGGGGGAGTGAGAGCAAGCTCAGCAGACACCCTGCATTCTCACTGCACCTCCTCCGTCCCCGTCACCCCCACCCCCAGGTAGCCGGCGAGACGTCACAGAGGGTCACTGATGCCTGCCATGTTCTGCACCACCTCCTGGTGGTCAGTGCACGTCATAGCGAGCAGTCGAACTCCCGGTTGAATGACCACTCGAGGGGGCAATTTGCATATTAGGCTTTTATAAAAGGCTAATACACAAATTGTCCCCTTGGGAGTACGACCAACCGGGAGTTCAACAGCTCGCTATGATGTATGCTGATCACCAGGGGGCAGCGCAGAACGAAGGCAGCCGGCAACTGGGGAAGGAAGGCCCTGCCTGATCAGCCCTGATCTCCGGCCAGCCTAGGGACCCTACCCGTGCACAGATTTCATGCACTGGGCCTCTAGTATAGGATAATAACAATGACAATGGTCATCCTAACACGTTCACCTTGGATCAGCCTTAGGGTGTGGTGAGATGGTACATACCAGGAGACCTCCCAATCCCATTCCATGTTATAGCATGTTCATCCAGAAGCACATTCTCCTCACGAGACTCAAAACTGGAGAGAAAAGTCAGGTACCCTGTGGCATAAGGGAATCTCTGTCATAAAGCCTGGCTTCCTTATCTTGTGGGTCCTGCCTCATGCCACTTCTGCCCCCCTTGGAGTCTTCATGGGCTCAGCTACACAGTAGCACAGGCCTTCTTCTCTCTTCTCTGGCCAAAGGGGGTAGAGGGCCAAGGGCGAGGGGGACGTGAGGTGAGGAGTTGCGGAAGTTCAGGAGTTGCTGGGTGGCGCAGGTGCAGGCACTGGGCGGTGTCAGTTCTTTCACTCATCCCTCCCCTCCCCCTTCCTCCCCGGAAACCAGTGACTTTGCCACCACCAGTATTGGGGATGATGAGCTGTGGGGGCCAGGCCGAGGAGGGGTGGGAGTAAGGGGGGCTGCTGCAGCTGTCAGACCATAAGCCAGGCTCACGCCCAGGCTCAGGCCTGCAGACTCGGCTCCCACATCAATAGTCATGAGCAGCGGTGCCAACTGCACGGATCAGCTAGGGCCCGGTAAGCGGGGCGGGGCAGGGACAGGGGGAGGGGTCACGCGGCCCCATGTCCCATCTGCTGGGATCTGGAGGGTTGGGCTGGGCAGTAATACCCACCCCTCTATTCTCTCACATCCACAGGAATTCCCTCCTTCCCCCAGGCCTGGGGATTGTGGGCCCTCTTAGGGGCTGTGACGCTGCTGCTTCTCATCTCGCTGGCTGCACACTTGTCCCGATGCAGTAGTGGCTGGAGAAGAAACCGTTCAGGAGGCGGACAGTGAGTGGGGGGAAAACAGAAATGGGATAATTGATAATTTCTCCTTACCAAGAGGTCCCCATTTACCCCCTAAACGTTGTGTTGCAGGTCTGGAGGGTCTGTGGAAGAGGTCCCCCTGTATGGGAACCTGCATTATCTGAAGACAGGTAGGAAACTGGCGGAGGGGAGAGGCACGGAGAACAGGTCCTGGGTGGGTGGGATGAAGGGCTGCAGGAGGAGGAACAAGAAGTGACCAGATTTCTGTTACCTGTCCCAGGACGACTGTCTCAAGAACCAGGGCCAGACCAGCAGGATCCCACACTTGGAGGCCCCACCAGGGTGAGTCAGTTGTTGCTGAGGAAGAGGGGGGAGGAAGTGGGGGGGGTGCTTTTTCAAGGGTCCAGTGCACTTCTAACAGCCTTGCATCTCCAGGCTGCAGAGGAGGTGATGTGCTACACCAGCCTGCAGCTGCGGCCTCCTCAGGGCCGGATCCCCAGCCCTGGAACCCCCATCAAATACTCAGAGGTGGTGCTGGACGCTGAGCCGAAGCCCCAGGCCTCTGGCCGGGAGCCGGAGCTCTATGCCTCCGTGTGTGCCCAGACGCGCAGAGCCCGGGCTTCCTTCCCGGACCAGGCCTATGCCAACAGCCAGACTGCACCCAGCTGAGACGGAGGGCCTGGCATCGCCCCAGCTTCCTCTGTTGCAGGGGTGACGGCTACCCTGTTCCGGGCATGACTGTTTCCCAGCAAACCCCCAAAGACAGTCAGCCATCGCCCCATCACAGGAGGTGATGTTCCCCAAGCCTCCTATCTGACCTGAGGGAGATAAGTCAGGGGGAAAGCAGGCCCCTGTTTCTTGAGGATGGAGAAAGCAGAGGCAGTGCCCCCCTCCTCGCTTCCTCCTCCTTCCGGAGTCTTACCAGGTCCTCCCCGCTATTGCTCTCATACACTGTACTGCTGACACCTCAGTGTCTCCTCAGACACAGGAAGTGGGCAGGGGGGGAGGGGGGGAGAGCCTAAGAGGACCTGGGTGGGTATACCCCTGGGGAGGCCACGGGCAGGGGGGCAGGGGGGGTAGGAGGGGAGGGGGATCCTGGAACCGAGCAACCTGAAGAACCCAAGCCTGGCTCTGGCCTGAGAACCCTGGCAGGAGAATGCCAGTCTCCATCCTGCTGCCTCTGTTGTGTACCCAAGTTTTTAAATAAAATTTCTCAAAAAGTGTTTAGATTTCATTATGGGGGCCACAGACTTGCAATAGACCCCACATGGTGGGAGTGTGAGCTCTGTTGTCTGCACAGAGCACTCCCAGGGAGCCTGGCTGGGGAGGAGGGCGCAAGAGGGGCAGCCTCATCCACGCGGCAGGGGTGGGTGCCAGGGGGCCAGGGGCGGGTGCTGGGGGGGGCAAGGGTGGGTGCCGGGAGGGCAGGGGTGGGTGCCAGGGGGGCAGGGGTGGGTGCTGGGGGTGGAGGCTGGAGCTGCTAGAATTTGCACTGAGGACCGCCCCAACTCCCATCACCCGGAGTCTGCAAGCTCAGCAGCCCTGTAACTGTGCTGCACCCCCACCCTAGCCTAGCCCTCTCCTCCCAGGGCCTCTGTAGAGGCAGGTCGGACAGACGTGAGGTTTGAGGGGCAGAAGAAGGGGGAAGCTGAGGCTTTTACTTCCAAACCTCTCTCCTTCCTAGAGTCCCGGGGAAGGCAGAGTAGGGACCCGTGCGCCAGGGACCGGCCGGGCGGTGCCAATGAGAAGGGGGCCTCCTCTGCACACACACAGACACACAGTAGCCCAGTGCCCGGGGTTCCTGGACCTGAGCACCCCCCTTCGCCTCCAGAAGCAGCCGGGGCCGCGGTGAGCGCAGCTGCGCTGTGTGGGCGGGAAGGTGGCGTCGGGGCGGGTACCGGATGCGGGAGACGCCCGCAGCGGGATGTGGGGTCAGAAGGCTGCGGTGCTGGAGACGCTCCACGTGTCCGCGGCCTGGGGGCTGAGGGCTTCACCCCTGGGACTCGCCGGCCATCTCGGCCGAGGCCTCAAACGACCCCCCAACCCAGACCGGCTCTCCACCGGCCCTCCCTCCGGGCTCTGCGGCCCCCGCCGGTGCAGGTCTGAGCTCCGAGCGCCCCCGCGCGGCGGGACGCGGCCTCGCCACCAGCTCTGCGCAGGCGCGCGGCTGCGGGTCCGCGGCTCGCTGGGAGGTGAGGTCTCCAGGCTCCGGGCGGGGTCCCCGGGTTTGTAGGCTCCGTGGCTCCCGCTCCCGGAGCGTCGGGCGCCTCCCGCGTGCGCAGGACGTGGCGGACTCGCTCCGAGTGGGGCTGGGTGGGCCTTGAACGCTTCCCTTCCAGTCTCCGAAGCCCGGATCCTCTGCTCTCTCTCGCCCCACAGCCCTTCGGTTTTCCTTACCTTCTCATGCCCTAGCCTAGGATCTCCACTGGACGCCAGGTCTGGGGCAATTTCCAAATGTAGGAAATAAATAAGGGGGGGCAGCCGGAGGCACCCCAAACACCTCCGAGGGCCCCTGGCCACCTCCCTCCAGCTGGCTGAGTGCCTCACTTTACCAGGCACCTGGGCTTCGCTCCGCCTCCATAGCTCCGGGTGCCTCCAGGGCACGTGCCCTCCCTGCCTCGCTGGTGTTTGTTTCCCGCCAGGAATGCCCTGTCCCGAGCAGAACCCCAGAGCAGCTCAGGGGAAGCCACGGGGCCCTTTGGGGTTCCCGTTTCCCCCTCTTCCTGAGATCCCAGCGGGAGGATAGGAATAAGCCCAGGACCCAAAGACGAAGGGTCTTCGGCATTGTCACAGGTTCATGGCAGGAAGTTCTTAGCGAATTGTTTGTGGTGGGAGGAGCCTCGGGAGCCACCGCCAGCCACCCCACCGGGCCCCTCCAGCTCTGGCGCTGCACTGCGCTCTGTCAAAATGAGTCTCAACTTCCAACTTGGTTTTGGCTCCAAGGAGGGTAACGGAGCGGGGACATGGAGAGCGACCAAGCCTTAATGACTTCATTGGGAACCTTGGATCCAGCCATGCCCAGAGCAAGATCTGCTTCCTGCACTTCTTGGTTATGTAAGCAAGCTAATAAATTCCTTTTTTTGCTTAGTCAGTCAGTCAGTCAAAGTTAGACTTTCTATCTCTTGCAACTCTTGAGTTCTGACCTCCTAGCAATGGCTTCTGTTTTTAAGTCTTTTGGTGATTATCACTTTGTCAGTAATACTTACATTACTTAGAGTGAGAGGATTTTGCGCATGTACCAGTAGCAACCCTATGAAGACCTCCCTCTACACACCCCCTCTGATAACTCTCAGCTGTAGGTGAGCAACTTTATTTTATTTATTTTTTCTTTTATTAATCCTCACCTGAGGATATTTTCCCATTGATTTTTAGAGAGAGTGGAAGTGCGGGGGAGAGACAGAGAGTAACAGTGATGTGAGAGAGACACGCAGATTGGTTGCCTCCCACAGGAGCCCTGACCAGGGCCTGCAACCGAGGCATGTGCCCTTGACCAGAATCAAAACCCGGACCCTTCAGTCTGCAGGCCGATGCTCTATCCACTGAGCAAAATCTGCTAGGGCAGCGGTTCTCAACCTGTGGGTCATGACTCCTTTGGCGGTCGAACGACCCTTTCACAGGGGTCGCCTAAGACCATCCTGCATATCAGGTATTTACATTACGATTCATAACAGTAGCAACAGTACAGTAATGAAGTAGCAACGAATATAATTTTATGGTTGGGTCACAACATGAACTGTATTTAAAGGGCCAGAAGGTTGAGAACCACTGTGCTAGGGCTCCATTTATTTTTTATTTTTTTAGAGACAGTGGAAGGGAGGGGAAGAGACTGAAAGAGAATATTGATGTGAGACACATCAATTGGTTGCCTCCTGCAAGTGCCCCAATCGGGCCAGCATCCAGCCTGCAACTGAGGCCGTGTCCTTGACCGGGATCAAGCCTGGGACCCTTCAGTCCATGGGCTGATACTCTAACCATTGAACAGTCTGGCCAGGGCTGGGTGAGGAACTTTAAGTGGGCTCTGCTGAGCTCTTGCAGAGAATTTGAGGACAAATTTCTGGAAAAGAGCCTCAGAGCCAAGAGCAATGCAACAAGTCCCAGAAACAGTCTGCTTTCCAGGAACAATCAATGGCTTTGCTGGCCTCCCCTGCTCTCCAAAAAAACCAGTGTAGGACTGAATTTCTCAGTCCTTGAAGCGGGGAAAGGCAAGCCAGAGGGGCAGAGAGACCTGCTGGAGGAAGCAGGCGAATCTCGGACTGAAAAATGTGTAAAGCGCAAACAAAAAAGATTTCCCTGAACTAGAAAATCAGAACCCCAAATTTCCATAGATAAATCAAAGGAGAGGATGTACTGCTAAAACCCGAAAACGGGTCGAGAAGATTAAAAATGAAGCATCTCAAAATGGAACAGGTCTAGAAAATTAAAATGAAGTATTTCAAAAATATGGAGATGCAAATCAGGTGGTTAAAGATGGGAGATTGGAACAGACCCAAGAGACTTACCTCAACTTCTATGAGTTCCTGCAGAATAAGGAACAGGAGAGGAGAGGTCATCATCAAATAAGAGATTCAATTTCCCTGAGCGAAACAAAGACTTAAGTTCCAGACTGGACTGATAGGAAAAGACACACACTTGGCCATACGAAGGTTAAAAACCATAAGCTCTTAAGGATATGGGAAAGCTTGGCACATTTTCAGGCAAAAAGAAAGTTCTTTTTTCTTACCTGCTACCCTGGAAGTTAAAAGACCAAAAAATTGGCCGAAACCGGTTTGGCTCAGTGGATAGAGCGTCGGCCTGCGGACTGAAGGATCCCGGGTTCGATTCCGGTCAGGGGCATGTACCTGGGTTGCGGGCATATCCCCAGTGGGCGATGTGCAGGAGGCAGCTGATCGATGTTTCTCTCTCATCGATGTTTCTAACTCTCTATCTCTCTCCCTTCCTCTCTGTAAAAAATCAATAAAATATATTTAAAAAAAAAAAAAAGACCAAAAAATTGAATGTGAGTCAATGAAAGAAAAGGCCTGTAACCCAGACCCAGCCAAAGAAGAAAGATAGATATTAAAGATTTGCAAAAGTCACCAAGTATCTCATCTAAGACATACTTTTTATTATTATTATTACTTTTTAATCCTCACCTGAGGATATTATTCCATTGATTTTTTTAGAGAGAGTGGAAGAGAGAGGGAAAGACAGAGAGAAATATCAATGTGAGAGAAACACCTTGATTGGTTGCCTCCTGCATGCGCTGACCAGGGCCCAGGCCAGGGAGAAGCCTGCAACCCAGGTACAGTACCTGCCCTTGACCTGAATCAAACCTGGGAACCTAGTACCATTCAGTCCACAGGCCTATGCTCTATTCCAGGGGTGGGCAAACTTTTTGACTCGAGGGCCACAATGGGTTCTTAAACTGGACCGGAGGGCTGGAACAAAAGCATGGATGGAGTGTTTGTGTGAATTAATATAAATTCAAAGTAAACATCATTACATAAAAGGGTACGGTCTTTTTTTTTTTTTAGTTTTATTCATTTCAAACGGGCCGGATCCGGCCCGCGGGCCGTAGTTTGCCCACGGCTGCCTATTCACTGAGCCAAACCAGCTAAGGCTTTCCATTGACTTAAAGAGAGTAAAAGGGAGGGGTAAAGACAGAGAGAAACACTGATGTGAGAGCGCCAAACGGGCTAGGCTGAGAAATACTTTTTTAAAAAGTATATTTTATTGATTTTTTACAGAGAGGAAGGGAGAGAGATAGAGAGTTAGAAACATCGATCAGTGCCTCCTGCACATCTCCTACTGGGGATGTGCCCACAACCAAGGTACATGCTACATGCCCTTGACCGGAATCGAACCTGGGACCTTTCAGTCCACAGGCCGATGCTCTATCCACTGAGCCAAACCGGTTTCAGCTCATAAATACTTTTAAGACATTAATGAGCCCTGGCTGGGCGGCCCAGTTGGTTGGAGCACCGTCCTGTACAGCATAAGGTTGTGGGTTCAATTCCCG